AAGGTATGTGCCTGGACACTCTGGGGTGGGAGCCGTGGGAGTGGCCTGAGGCAGGTGCCTTGACAGCAGAGACCTCCACAGCAGGCATCTGTGAAGGGAGCCAGAGCAGAACACGAGGGTAATGATCGATGCCCCAGGGTACCTGAAAACAACTAGGAGACTTTGCAAGGAGATGATTGACGTTGTAAATGTGACTTCTAGATGTTTTGGTTCTAGATTGGAGTGGGCCGGGAATGTGTTCATTGCTTTCTGCCTCCACCCTAGGCTATATAGCTTAAGAACTATATCTCATACATGGTTGTGTTTCTAGCTCCTGGAACATATCCCGGCCTAGCATAAGTACTCACTAAATGTTTATTGAATGAAGAGTGCTGCATTCTCTTGATTTATTCTCTGCCACCTATAAAATAAGTTTTCCCCTATATTAAAATGTTTGTTGTTGTTTTTTTAGAAATAAATGATAGAGATTTATTTAAGTCTTAGAGTGTGCAAACTGGAAACACAGCTAGGAAAAAATCCAGAAGTATTCCAAAGAAAAAAGAACAGTTAAAAGTTATAATAAAAAGTATGCTTTTGAGAATTATCAGTGCTGCAGTCTTAGCCCTAGGATTAGTACAGGACAGGTGTCCCTTAGGTGGGAGGCAGTCAGGGTGATGGATGCCGGGTCTTCAGGAGAAGGGTGCCAGGAGGTCTGGATAACAGGTGGCAGGTGGATATATATGTGATATGAGTCCTTCAAGGGGTTATCAGGTGGCCTTGACGTATCAGTTCTTCAGTGGGTAATCAGAGGGTTACTTGGAGGTCCATATTATGTCTGACATTGACCCACGATGGACTACTGGTTTATTATAAAAGGGTGTAAGTCAGGAATAGTCAGATGGAAGAGGTGCAGAATGCAAGGTATGAGGAAAGGGCAGCGTGAGCTTCCATGACCCCTACTACCATGCTATTCTCCCCAGATCTCTATGTTCACCAACCTGGAAGCTCAGAAGGGCATTTATTTTGCCTTTTGCCTTGAAGTCCCAGCTACCACTAAATTCTGAACTTAACTACCCAGCTTGACTAAGAATTGTTCAATACTCAGCATCTCAATTTAAATCACCCCCACAACTTGGTTTCAATCTTCTCCATCCTGGTCTCACAGCACTTCATAATGTGTACCTGCAACATTTGGGCTTTATGATATGACCTTGAGTCGCAAGGCCTCTGGTTTTGGTGAGTGAGTCTCATAATGCCTTTCCCTGGAGAACGCCTCCTCTACCCCTGTTCAGCTCTGGGAACACCTACTCACCTTTTGAGACCACATCAAATATCATCTCCAGAAAGACAACTTCTTCAGTCCTCCAGGCAGATATAGTCATCTTTTTGATTCACAAAGCACATTATTCTCACTCTAATAGCCCTTACTTGAGATGTAATTTTTCTCTCAACATGTTTCTTCTGCACTGAAGAAAGGCCATCTCATCAGTGGGTTTATCTGGGTACCCACTGATTAGCACAGTGCATAGAATAGATGGATGGATGGATAGATAGATAGATAGATAGATAGATAGATAGATAGATAGATAGATAGACAGATTTTAAGGAATTGGCTTACATGATTGCAGGCAATCATGAAATGGCAAGTCTGAAATTTGTAGGCTGGAAATTCAGGAGACAGGTTGTATTGCAGTCTTGAGCCCAGTGATGGCAAGGCAGAAGAGCAGGCTGGAAACTCAGAGTTTCTATGTTGCAATCATTTTTTAAATTATATTTTCTTAATTATGCTATTACAGTTGTCCTGAATTTTCCTCCTTTGCGCTCCTCCACCCAGCACCCCCTACTCCCTTGGGATATCCCCCCACCATCGTTCATGTCCGTGGGTCATGCATACAAGTTCTTTGGCTACCCCATTTCTACACTGTACTTTACATCCCCATGGCTTTCTGTAACTACATATTTGTACTTCTTTATCCCTTCACCTCTTCACCCATTCTCCCCCTGCACCCTCACATTTGGTAACCATCTAGTAACTAACTTCTTTTCTCTTGCTTTAAGACTCTCTTTATTTTTAACCTTTGGCCTTTTTAATTATGATGTGTCTTGGAGTGGGCCTTTTTGCATCCATCATAATTGGGACTCTCCATGCTTCCTAGATTTGCATGTCTATTTCCTTCACCAAATTAGGCAAGTTTTCTTTAACAGTTTTTTTTCAGATAGCAATTTCTTGCTCTTTCTCTTCTCCTTCTGATACCCCTATGATGTGAATGTTGGACTTCTTGAAGTTACCTGGAAGCTGCTTACACTATCCTCATTTTTTTGGATTTGTTTTTCTTCTTGTTGTTCTGCATGGTTGTTTTTCATTTCCTTATGTTCCAAATCATCGATCTGATTCTCCACTGCTTCATCCACTCTACTGTTTTTTTCCCTGTAAACTGTTCTTTATTTCAATTAGTGTGTCCCTTGTTTCTGACTGAATCTTTTTTGTGCTGCTGTGGTCCTTACTAAGTTCCTTGAGCATCCTTATAACCGGTGTTTTGAACTCTGCATCTGATAACTTGCTTATCTCCATTTCATTTAGCTCTTTTTCTGGAGGTTTGATCTTTTCTTCCCTTTGGGCCATGTTTCTTTGTCTCTTCATTTTGGCAGCCTCCCTGTGTTTGTTTCTATGTATTAAATAGAGCTGCTTTGACTCCATGTCTTGGTAGTGTGACCTAATATAGTAGGTGTCCTGTAGGGTCCAGCAGCACAGCCTCCCCTATCATACAAGCCGGGTTCTCACGTTGTGCCCTTTGTGTGGGCTGAGTATATCCTCCTCTTGTAGTTGAGCCTTGATTGCTCTTGGCAGGTCCAAGAGACGGATTTACTCAGGCCAGTCAGCTGCAAGGACTGGTTGTGACCACTGACCACTAACCTCTACCCTCCATGGAGGATCAGCAGTTCTGGATCAGGGTGGTGGTGCTCCAAAGTGGTCTGTAGCTGTCCACTGGGTGCACAGGCTCTGGGGTTTCCTGGGTGGTGCAGGCCAAGATCAGCCCCCACCTGTGTTTTTTCCAGGGCCACCCTGCCTGAGCTGTAAAGCAATCTGAGATGGCTGCTACTTGTGCTGGGCTAGGAGATTCCCAAGTGAAGCCAAGCTCTGAATCTAATCTGGCTGCTGCTGAGGTTCATTCAAGCCAGCAGTTGCTTGTTTGATAGGATTTAGGAGCCAAGACCAGCCATTCTTATGGAAAAGCAACTTGGGTGGGCCCATAATTTGGGTGGGGCAGAGTTTCTGGGGCTCTCCATGGCAGGTCGAACAGTGTTAGCCAGGTTGTTGGAGTCTCAGGTATAGCACCAGTTTGCAGGCTCTGTGGGAGGAAGGTTTAGAAAAGGGACAATGGCCTCTGCTCGCTTTGTTGTCACACAGTTCAGTTTCTCCCTGTGTACCACTGGTTCCTTTCAAGCTGCTACCCCAGTGCTAGAGCCCAGAGAGAGTGAGTCTGAGTAGCTGAGTCCATCTGTGGGTTATTTAAGAACTGTTTGGGGCTCCAGCAGCTTCTTCTACTGACTTAATTGCTGCTGGTACTTGAAGCCTGAAGCTATGTGGACTTACCTGCCTGGCTCTGGAACCCTGGGCTAAGGGGCCTGGTGTGGGGCTAGGACTCCTTGCTCCTGGATTATCCCTCCTGAATTTTTATCCACATGGATGTGGGACCAGTCCATTCCATATCTGCACCCTTCCTACCAGTCTGGATGGATGTGTTTTCTTTAATTCCGTAGTTGGCAGACTTCCATGTAACTTGATTTTATGGTTGTTGGACTTCTATTCAGCTCAATTTCTGATATTCCTGAGTGATGGTTGTTCTGTATTTTAGTTGTAATTTTGATGTGGTTGTGCAAAGGGGCAAGCCATGTCTGCCTACACTGCCATCTTGACTGGAAGTCTCTGTTTCAGTCTTGAGGGAAAACTACTTCTTTGGAGAATCTCGGTCTTTGCTCTTAAGGGTCTCAGCTGATTGGATGACACTTTATCAAGGTAATCTGCTTTACTTAAAGTCAATTGAATATAAATGTTAATCACATCTACAAATACCTTCACAGTAACATCTACACTAGCCTCAGACCAAACAATTGGGTACCATAGCCTCACCAAGGGGACACATTAAAGTTAACCATCAGAGTGCTCAAATAAATGCTTGTTGTATAATAAATGAATAGATGTTTAATAAGTATTACAAAAGTTTGGAGAAGAGAACAATGGGCTTTGGCATAGATTTCCAAACTTACGCTTGTCTTGACAAGTGATAGAATAATCATACTTTGTTCATTAAGCAGGTATCTATAAGAATATATAAAAAAAGGTAGGTAGATAGATTGAGAAAGAGAGAAGATACATACATTTGTAAATCAGACAAATCTAGATACATGGCTGTGTGCATTCTATCCATCCAATTGCTTTTTTTCTAGATAAGGGCAATGATGATATTAACAAACTTTGATCAAAATTACTTTCTTATTTCATCAGTAAATGCTGTGGCACCAACAAAAACACTTAGAGGCAAAACAACAATGCTTTGAAGTAGTTCTTTGTACAGATTGAAATGGTTAATTCAAGAGTATCACCTCTGGGTTTTGATAAAGTTGCGAAGCCAGCAGGGTGCAGGCAGGAGCAGGGCTGAGGCCCACTGGTCAGGGACTGGAGGGGGGAGAACAGGCACTGCTCTGACCCAGTCTCTCCTTATAAGGTGGTATTTCCCAGGTTAGGCTCTTTCCTTCAAGTGGCTTAAGAGGCAAGAGATGAAAATATCCAGGGCTTTTCCAGGGAACAAGTTTCCTCACCTGTAAAATGGCCATAGTAATATGAAAAATATTAGGGCGAGCCAGATGGCATTACTACTATTCAACCACTTTTGGTTTATGGAACTGGAAATTTCCTCTGATTTAGCCAAATAGATTAGATATTAAGTGAGAAGTAAATGGGATGTAGGTACAGCATAGGCGACCAGTAACTAACTACTGGCTGTCACCTTTATCTCCAGACTCCAACTCGGGCTGGAGCCCGAGGCGAACCCTGGCCTGAGGGGCCAACGGCTGCAAGACTGTGGTTTTCGCCAGCAAATATCCTGGTTCAATGCACTGAGTGAAAAGAATCCTGGAGTGAAAAGCTGAGGTGAGTATGTAGAAATAAAACCCAGAGCTGAAAGATAAAAGTCCTTATTTGTTCAGTAGCCCTTCCTAATGTGAAGGTACTGAGGTAGAAGAAAAGCTGACTGATTTTCTTGCTGTTATACCCCTGTCTGCACACACAGACGCAGGAACTGAAGGGACTGAAGTTAACAAACTCGGAGAGTAGCAGGCAAAAAGGAAAAACAAAAGGGCAGGGAAATATTTAAACTCTTTAATTAGCTTCTCAATTAACCAAAATCAAATGACTACTCATTGGATAAATGAATGAACATTTCATTTAATTCTCATAACATCTCTGTTGGTATCTCTGTTATAATTTCTACTTACAGAGGAGAAAGGAGATTAGACAATTTTTCTAAAATGACCCCAAATGAAGTCAAATGTTATTTACCACCAGTTGTTAAGAATGCTGGGCAGCTGGCTTTCAGTGCATTTCTTCTGTTGATTACAAAAAGTGTCTTGTAATAAAAAAAAAAAATGACTTCCTGGCTGGGGGGGGGGGATGCTAAATGAAAGAAAATGAGGGATGAGCCAAAGATCATATATGCATGACCCATAGACTCAGACGGCAGGGTGGTGATGGTCAGAGGCAAGGGGTGCAGGGGGGGAGGTGGGCAAAGCGGAGGTGGGGGCCTGGGGAACGGGGACATCTGTAATAGTGTCAACAATAAAGTTGAAGGAAAAGTGACTGCCTGGCCAGTCTTACAAAAGCACATTCTGTCTCATGTTTTGTGCTCAGTTTCCCCAAACATCACGTGGGAGGTATGTTTCAGATTGACTTTCTTATCGTAGTTGCCAATTGTTTCTTCTGCCCTTAGAATTTTTCATTGTATGATTTAGATTATTGAGATTATGTTCACATTCTCTAAACAGTCCAATTTAACAAGGGCAAGAATGGGAGAAAAACTTTTCTACACTCAGGTTAGAATCTAATAATCATATTAGTGGTGTTAAAAAAAATGCAAGCTGCTGGCACATTCATTTTTTTCCATCCAGGAAGAAAATAGAAATGTCCAATAGTTTAAATTGGGTTTTTATAAAAATAAATCTGAAAGGAACAGATTTTCCTCTTCTTTTGAAAAATGGCATTCTTTTCTATTTATAGCAGCCATGTTATCTCATTATGTAAACTTGGGAAATCATAGTTCAGTAGAAAGAAGAAATAACTATTTAAACTCCCTCCTCCATGAGAGAGCCACTGTAGTAAAACTTGTAGTGTATGTTTTCCTCCAGCCTGGAAAACAGGGTTTTGTTTTTTGTTCAGATGGAAAGAATCCTGTTGAAAAATAATTTCATCAGTGATCTGACCATTCAGAATCAAAGGGAGAAAGGTGAACTGGCTGGGAAACCTTTTCATGCTTTCTATCCTTGCTCTGATATAATCACTTCTGAGTAACAGAGGACGGTGTGAACTGTAAGACTGCTCCATGATGCCTCCGAGCTCACACAGACACCTTTTCACTGGAGTTACTCTATTAATTAGCAGTACTACCCAGAGGTCAACTTTATCTGGTCTTTCACAGGTGGGCGTTCTCCTGAATATTAAAGTAGGGGTCCTAGAATTTGAAATTTAAGGTGATTTGGGGAATAGTTTTGACTTAAATGCTGATTTCCATGAATGTTTGTATTAGTACAAACATTTTGGGGAAGTAAAAGTGAATAAAAAATGATTTTACTTTGAAATTGAGGCGGGGACTTTTGATGTGATTCGAGAGAGGAGCACAAGCCTGGAGGCTGGTGTGGTGTGTGCTCCTGCCCGGCTCCCAGTCCTGAGTTAGCTGGAAGCTGCAGGAGCTGGCATGTTGAGAAGCTTCAGGCCTGGGAGGCTCTAGGGCCGGTGTTGGCACAGGGGAGGGGCAGAGGCCAGCCTGCTCTGGCATCGGGTTCAGATTTGGGAGAGAGCACACTTGGGCGTGGCTTTGGCCATCTCCCAAAGATGCCATTAGCAGTGGCAGTGGGGGAGAGCCTCTGAGTGACACAGTAAGCAGGATCTGTTTACAAGTGAAAGAGGAGAAGAACCTGGAGCCAGCAGATTGCTCCATGGGAACCTTCCTTTTGAGGAGGCCCAGAAAATCAGAAAGGAGGTAGAGGGAAGATTTTGCCAGGAAGGTTAGAGATCCTGTCTGGGTAAAAAGTGCAAAATCAGTTACCAACTATATTCCTTAGGAACTGCGTTTGGCTGCTAATACAGAGACCTGAAATGACAGAGGCTTAAACAGTGTAGGCTAGGGTGTCTTCAGAGTGTCACCCATGTCTGTTCAGACTTTCTGTCCCACCTCCTTACCCGGGAGCATAGCGGTTTTCACGGTTGCATGATGGCTATTGTGGCTTTTCCTATTTACAGCCATTTTGAGGTGGGAAGACAAGCGGGGTATGTTAGTTTACTAGGGCTGCCGTGACAAGTACCACAGACTGGGTGGCTTAAAAAGAAATTCTTTTTTAAAGATTCTATTTATTTATTTTTAGTGAGAGGGGAAAAGAGGGAGAAAGAGAGGCAGAGAAACACCTACATGTGGGAGAAACACGGATCAGTTGCCTCTCACACACCCCACACTGGGGATCTAGCCCACAACCTAGGCCTGTGCCCTGACTGGGAATCGAACTAACGACCTTTTGGTTTGCAGGATGACGGCCAACCCACCTAGTCAGGGCAACAATAGACATTTTTTAGGCAAAGATCCAGAGGGTAAAAGTTGGAGATCAGAGTGGTGGCAGGGTTAGATACTTCGGAGACCTCTCTCTGCGGCTTGTAGAGAGCAGCCTTCTCTCTGTGTTCTCACGCGGCCTTTCTCTGTCTCCCTCTTTGGATCCTAATCTCTTTTTATAAAGATGTCGGTCATATTGGATTAGGGTCCAACCTAATAACCATTACTGTTCTAAAGGCCCTATGTCCAAATATAGCCATGCTCTAGGGATTAGGACTTCAACATAGGCGTTTGGAGGGGGACACAATTCTGCCCATAGCAAAAAGGAAAAGCAAAGGGGTGTGTCTCAGCCGATCAGCCCTCGTTACTGGGCTTTCCCTGAAGCCCCAGCTTACCACCACGTGCATCTCACTGCTTGTGTTTGGTAAAGAGGTGGGAAATCTACCCAGTAATTTTTTTACAGCTTGATGTATTGCTGTACCTACTAAACTTGGGTTTTGGTTGGTTAAGAAGGGGGAAATGGGCATATGAATGATCAAGCTGGACATTGTGTTGATTTAATGTGACTTCATTCATGGCCACATACTAATATGGCTCTGTAACCTGTGGCTTATGTCTGTGCACAGTGTATGATACATTATTTGACTATGCATATCTACTCACTTGGACTGATATTGGGGTGTTGCAGCCTGTGCAGTATGGCATGTTGCATGGTGGCTGGCCATCTGCCATAGCCTTCAATGTCTCTAGAAGGGTGACGTGTGTGTGGCTCCCCTTTAGGCTGGGGAGAAGAATGGCCAAGGAAAAGCAAGAGAAAGTGTGGCAGCAGGGAATAGGATGAGGTCAAGAGGAAAGGATAGACTGTGAAAACAAGTGCCTGGATGAGGAATAAACAGGTCCCCTTTCCAGACACTGCAGTGCCTACCGCCAGTGGCAGGCAGGAGAGTGATAGGAACAGTGAGGGGGACAGATGGATCATCCAGTCAAGCAGTCACTCCAAATGAAGCCTGAAAGGGGACTGCAGCAAACCGAAGAGAATGAAGTGGGGGGAGAGAGAGAGAAAGACCTGGGGCAGTGTGGGGCCAAGCCCTGAAGAGTGCCAGCTGGGAGCAGCCCTAAAACCCAGCCGACTTGCTATAGAAAGCTCCACCTCCTCAGAGACAAGGAAATCCTTCCAGTTGGTACCAACCTCTGCTCTTCTATGAGCTTGCTGAGTTCCGAGTCATCGATTTTCTATCCTACTGAAGGGTGAAATGATGCTAAAGATGACTGTTACAAACATTGGGCTAGTTCTGCTCATTTTTTACCAAGGCCACTGCCTGTGATACCTGTGCCCTCAGTCCTTGTGCATAAGTTAGTCACTGAGGTTTTAAATGAAAAGCATTATTTGATTTCTGCTGCAAATGAGGCAATGCCCTTCCACCTGAGGCAGGCAGAAATCCCTAGGCTGGGAAGAAGGGCCGTGTTACCATGGAAATGAGATGACTGGCTGAGCTCTGAGCTAAGCACTCTCTGTAGAAGAATAGAAAGAAGTTGTTCCTTACTCTGATCCCTGATGAGTCATAGCTGACTTACAGAACACCCCAGGTCTTCATTAAAAGCTGCCATCTTCTACTAGGGAGAAAAGTAGGAACAATGGTAAAGGTGGGAAGGGATTGTCTTCCACTGACACCATCTAGGTTCTCTGGTTTTATGCTTCTAATTAAGATTTTGGTCTCTGCTGAGATATGTGTAAAGTGGTTAAGTTTCAAAGTGCCAGCCAAATTTTGAAGGGTGCGATATAATAGTAAATTTGGTTATTAGCTATATAAAACATTGAACGGCATATGCAACCTTTTGAACCTGTGTTAGAATACATGTCTTACTTTTAAGGTTGATACTTGGAAGTAGAGACATTCTTTTATATGTTTGTTGACATATTCCTAAGAGTATTTTCTTTACATCTCCAGTGCTTGTGGCAAGCAGTGTGTATATAATAAATGAATGCTTAAGAAAATCACTCATGTGGGATGCTCACACATTGCTGGTAGGATTACAAAAGGGTATTGGAAAACTATGGCAGGTAAATATACATTTACCCTATGTAATGGGAAATTTTCCGTGTCAGCTGGGCTAAGTCATGATGCTCAGTTGTTTAGTTAAATACTAGTCTAGATATAGCTGTGAAGATATTTTTTAGATGTGATTAATATTTATAATTAGTAGACTATGGGTAAAGCTGACTACTCACCATAATTTGGGTGAGCCTGTATGATCAGTTGAAGGCTTTCAGAGCAAAGGCTGAGCTTTCCCGAAGAAAATGTAATGAGGCTGCAAGATTGCAACGTGGAAACCCTCC